TGAAAGGAGGGCCCTACCTAACAACTTATATCAATGAAGTATTTACAATGTTATTTAATATTAAGTTAATTGTTAAATAATTATAAATGGATAGAATGCGACGGAACCTATCGTGCTTGCTTACCACTTTGCGTTTACATCGACATAGTTGTGATGTTGAATCGATACAGAGGGCATTAATATCGTGACTGTATACAGTAAGGAAAACGGCTGAAAATGAGACACTTAAAAAAAAGTCGTTATCATCATATAAAGAAAATTAAACTGTTTAATAGAATAAGTTTTACTCATTTAGCAACATTATACATAAAAGATCCCAACTTTTCCATTCTTCCCAGACTGGTAACGATCACAAGTATGCGCATCCTTGTCGTGTTCATCAACTCCAACACGTGAATTATGGGCACGCTACAAATCACTCACCGTTTGGTTGACTTCAAATATAAGTATCCACAGTAAATGACGTTTAGACGATTGCTTAGCATTGAAGAGGACTTCAATTCGATTCCCTGATCCAAGTTTATCTGTGATATTCTTGGATCACTTAGGAAAATGCTGGGGCAGTAGTAATAATAATATTAAACAGATAGTTTAAACATTCCTACTATCTTCATTTCGTCAGTCTCACCTTTCTCACCCCAACTGCCACACACTCATTTTCACGATTCCTAAAAGGAGGTTGAACCGGCATAGTTCGGAACAATTGCTCGTCCACCCGCAGCTATTAACAGCTGAAAGGATTGAAGGCCCCAAAACTTTTTTTTCAAGTTCAGTCATCATTATCATCCTCTTTCGCAGTACCGAATGACATGGCCTGGATGTTTAGACTATTGCTTAGGTTCGGTTCCAGGTCCATCTGTCCTAGTCCAAGTTTGTCTGTAATTTCCTTGGATCACTTGGGAAAATCCTGGAACAGTAATAAAAAAAATATTCCTCAGACAGTTGTAAATATCCCTTCTGTCTTTATTTCGTTAGTATCCCCTATCTCACCCACGATTGCTAAAACGGAGTTGAACAAAGCTTTCCGTCCGACTCTCCGGCGTAGTCCTGAGGAATTGCCCGTCTACCTGCAGCCGTTTACAGCTGAAAGGATTGAAGTCCCAAAACTTTTCAGGTTCAGTCATCATGATCTTTCTCTTGCGGAGTATCGAATGGCATGGCCTGGACGTTTAGAATATTCTTTAGCATTCCGGAGGATGCTGGTTCGATTCCGAATCCGTCTAAAATAAAAGCAGTACTACAGGAGTTTAACCTTTAACGGCAACTGTCAAATTGAACTGTTAATAAGTGTAAAGGGCAGTTGAAAAATGTTTATTTTGGACAAAAACTACTCAATACACCTTCCCCCTGATTATTTCATGTATGTTTTTTCATAATTAGCTCATCTTAAGTCATTCTCAACAAGAAAAAGTTAGCTTTTCGAAAATGCCGTGATACAGATAAATAAATATAAAAATCGTTAAAAAGGAGTCCATGGTGCTCAGCATTTTGCTAAAACTGTCAGACGCGGATCGCAATTTCGATCTTGTTTCATTAGCGCGTCGCGATTCGCGTGTGGCAGTTTCGACTTAAAATAAATTTTGACAGTTATACTAATCTAGGTCTACCTCCATTCCCCTTAACTCTTGCTTCTGTCTTTAACATGTCTGACTACACCCTCATGTCTGAGAAGGTGTCCTACTAACCTATCCTATATTGTTACCGTCTACATATCCAGTACCTTTTTCTGTTGCCCTCGGAAATCATGCTCAGAACTGTACACCACATTACTGTCAGTCAGTCTTGCCGGCATCTTCTCTAGACGACCCGTATCATCTGCGTAAATGTCGGAGCTTTGTTATTCATAATATGGTTGCGTGATTCTCTGTTTGATACGTACACTATAGCGAAACCGATTCCTCAAGCCCAATTACTGAAAGATACACAAGCAAGTATAAGGGTTTTTCCTATCTGGCCGTCGTTGGCACACCGATTTTGCCCGCTGCTAAACCTCCGTCTACTTGGGCCCCGAATTCGCCGACCATCCTCGTTCACTACTGGTTTTCGACGTGACGTGACGTCGCATACTAATTCCCTTGTTCAACTACCTG